CACACACCTTCTTCCTCTGCTTCACTTTTCTCCATAGCACTATGTATTTTATCTTCTTTATTTTTTTTGTCTTCTTTCCCTCCCACACACTAGAATTAAAGCCCACAGGGCGGTGATTTTTATTTGTTTTATTCATTAGTGTGTCCCCAGCACCTAGTTCAGTGCCTGCTATGTAGTATGATTTTGTAATATATACTAAGTGAATGAATGAATGAATGAATGGTGATATCAGGTTTCTTACCATGTGGAGAACTGGTTGGAGATGGCGGGGGTTGTTTAAGAAAGGTTGTAGAGAGACCTTTTACGAGGCTATTATAATAGCTCGGGGGAAGCAAGATGTTTGCTTGGATTGATTGCTTTGGATAGTAAACCAAACCCTAAATATACTGTGTATTTTCATATATGTGTATGTATATATGATAAATTTTAATTTATAAATTAGGCTCAGTAAGAGATTAGTAACAATAACTAATAAATAATAAAATAGACCAGTTATTACAATGCAGTTGACCCATACAGTCGAAAATTTGAATATAATTTAAATCGACCCTTCTTATCAGCGGATTCCCAACCCTGGATTAAAAATACTGTTTTTGATCTGTGGTTGGTTGAATCTGCATATGTGGGGCTATAGAGGGCCGAGTATATAGTTATGTGGAAAACATCGTGTATAAGTGGGTCCATACAGTTCAAACCCGTGTTCAAGAATCAGTTCTATGCTGTAATAAAAGTTAGGTGAATGTGGTATCTCTCCCAAAATATCTTACTGTACTCCACTCAACTTTTCCCTTGAGGAAGCACTTCACAGCTTCTCTTTGCCATGTTCGAATTGCCAGCACTGGTCTTGCACTTTGGGGCCATTATTAGGTAAAATAAGCATTACGTGAACTGCTATACCAGACAGTCGATGTGCTAACCAAGACAGTTACTAAGTGGCCTGGAGCACCTACAGCGTGAAGATGCTGGATAAAGGGATGGATTCATGTCTGGGGTGGGGTGAAATGGGACAGCTTAAGATTTCATCATGCCTCACAGAACAGTGTGCAATATATAACTTATGAGTTGTTTATTTCTAGAATTTTCCATTTAATGTTTTCAGGCCGTGGGTGACAGTGGGTAGCCAAAACTTCACCAAGTTAAACCTTGGATAAAGGGGGAACTACTGTCGTTATATTTTTACTGCGATTTGTTTCAGTTTCTGAGCAGGAAAAAAGGCAGTTGTTTGAAACTAAAACTTCTTTTGTTTGTAATTTAGGAATATTAATGCAAAAGTACAATACTAAGGCAATGAAAAACCTGGGAAAATACTATATTGCTGCATCCTATGTAAAGTATTTGGAGTCTGCAGGTGCACGAGTTGTACCAGTAAGGTATGATTCAGTATTTTTTACATTGTATAAATAAAGCTGCTGTTTTGCCTTTAAAATTAGCTTTTATCTCTAAAATTAATGCCTCTCTTTGGATTGCATCATTTAAACGTGGTACTACTGCACCTGATTTTTGCCACAGATCTGAAGCTTAAAGTCTCTCACTACATTGCTTAAAGTATAAAGTGACGCTTATCTCTCACATCATTAGAGGTATGTCATATGTATTAGATAGAGAATGAAATGATAGTTGTTTTTACAACACAAAAGGCGGTCCTCATTAGACAATCGTGAAATTAGTGGAGTAAAAGAATCTATAACTTGACCAGCTTTATTCCATAATATTAGGATAAGGGTCCACTTAGGGAATAAAGGAGATTTTTAGAAGATGACTTTCGAAATACCTTCACACTCTACTTTAAAAGTTTGTAAGTAACGAATACAGCAGTGTTGCTTCAGTATAAACTGCCAGTATTACAGGTTTAAAAGAGCAACATTGGTTTTGTGATGTAATGACCTAGTAAGAATAAAATGATTTGTACCATAGATTGATTTGGAAAGAGTTGAATTTTTTAACAAACAAAACATTATGTGTTCACAATATCTTATCATCCAAAATTAGTGTATTTTGGAAGCTTCCAGCGCCACCTTCTAATCCATTATAAGTGATTTCACACACAAGATACCACTTTTTGCTCTGGGCAAACTGCTTTTATAAATAATTCTGCATTTAAAAACTGTAATATGCTCTGGCCAGTATGGATCAATGGTTAGAGCTTCAGCCTGCACACCAAAGGATCATAGGTTCAATTCCCAGTCAAGGGCACGTACCTAGGTTGCAGGTTCGATCCCCAGCCCCAGTTAGTGTATTTCTCTCTCAATCAGTGTTTTTCTCTCTCTCATACTCTCTCCTTCTGAGCTCCCTCACTTCTACTCTCTAAAGAACCAATGGGCCCTAACTGGTTTGGCTCAGTGGATAGAGAGTCAGCTTGTGGACTGAAGGGTCCCAGGTTCGATTCCGGTCAAGGGCATGTGTCTTGGTTGCAGGCACATCCCAGTGGGGTGTGTGCAGGAGGCAGCTGATCGATGTTTCTCTCTCATTGATGTTTCTCACTCTATTTCTCTCACTTCTTCTCTGTAAAAAATCAATAAAATATATTTAAAAAAAAAGAACCAATGGAAAAAATATCCTTGGTGCTTGAAGATTAACAACAACAACAAAACAAACAAACCCCCCCTCCCCCCACCAAACAAACAAAAAATCTATAACCAAAAATACTGTTCAAATGGAATATTAATAATCAAAATGCAAATATTACACTTTGGAGAATTATATCACAAAATGGTTCTATGTTTAGTTTCATAAGGATTGTCTTTTTAAAATATATATATTTATTGATTTCAAAGAGGAAGGGAAAGGGAGAGAGAGATAGAAACATCAATGATGAGAGAGAATCATTGATCGGCTGCCTCCTGCATGCTTTCTACTGGGGATTGAGCCCACAACCTGGGCATGTGCCTGCCATTGGCCGGAATCAAACCCGGGACCCTTCAGTCCCTGGGCCAATGCTCTATCCACTGAGCCAAACCGGCTAGGGCAAGGAGTGTCTTCTTACTGTTCTTTTACAGTTAGCTGTCCCCTACCCCAAGATGAACATTTGCTTTTGATGTTAGTCTTTAATTCCTCAGTAGCAGATCTAATTTTTCAAATGAAATCTTACTTGGAAACCAGAGAGCGCCAGAGTTTTAGAGCTGCCGAAGAGGCTCCAGGGAACCTTCAGAACAAACAGCCTTTCAAAGTTTTGATCATGGAAGCATTTTCTGCAAGCCATTCTTCTAGGACATTAGAGCTGACAGCATGGGTGGGAAGTAGGAGGGACAGGCAGGTGTACTAGTTCAGAGACTTGCAGTAGGCTGTGAAGTGGGAAGGGTTTGGCTCAGAGCAGTGATTGTAGCCTTGATAGATAAATATTAAGAAAAATAAACACGACTTGACTACTGTAAGGGTACAGGGAGGAAGAGATGAGAAAGACAGAAGTTTTGAAACTGGGGAAGTGTTGAAACCAATGATTCACCAAGTACTGGCATGTGTGACAGACACTGAAAATGTGACTGTCGGCATAAAGGTTGATTTCCAGCTTGGGTTCCCAGAGTTCTTTTTAAATAAATTGCTTGGAATCCTATCTAATGATAGACAAACATGGTAATTAACCATACCTCTGACATGCTTCCCATTGGCTAATCAGGGCGATATGCAAATTATTCACAGATTCTGCCC